TGGATCTACAAAAATGGTGTTTTCAAAGCTCCTCATCGATCTACATGATCTACATGATGTATTTGACTTTGACTCAGCGCTATCGGACATAAACGTTCAACTCGGAGATCTCGCCGTGGGCGGTTGGCAGGTGCTCTGGTGTGGTTTGCTTCTTCTTTCCTATCAAACATCTATCGTCTTTATCTCACCTTCTTCTTTTTTGTGTTCGTTCCTCCCTTGTAACAATTTTCTCTAATTTTCTGGCGCTCATATGACCTTACGCGGTTGTGAGCTCCGTAAAACTTCTGCTAAAACTAAGGAGGTCTCGCCGATTAAATAATGTTGAAAGAGACATGAATCCCATACCATACCATACCATACCATACCATACAATGATGTACCAAATGGAAGGTCAAATTTTAATACAAACTTTGTGCGTGTATGTCAGAAATGCCGAGGCCAATAGAGGAGCCCAAAAGCCCCCACATCCACAAGTGGAAATGAAGGTTTTAAATGTTCAAAATTTGGCAAATTTTTGTACGCCAGAATTGGTGTCCTGTAGCAGAATCCACAAATCATCTATAGGCCCCTATCCTTATGTATTTTTTCTTTTTCTTTTAGAAATCTTCTCCTCTGCTGGTTCATTAAAACGGGGTCTGTGGTGAAGCGGCGAGGCACCTCGTTGTTCCACGCAGGAGAATCGAGTTCGATTCCCGAAAGGGGATACTTTTTAATTGAGTATCTCTGTTTTTCTGCTGGGATATTGTATCCTTCTCAGTCTGGATTAGCGTGACGGGCAGGGTGGGATCTAAATTGTGAGGGGGGGGGGGGGTTAGTAATAATACCTACACGGGGGATTGGCCCGTGCTAAGGTGTGGTTTGCCCCTTCTTACCTATCAGACATTTTAAAAATTGTGTTTGTTACTTTCTTGTAACACCTCGAATCTTCGGTATTTATGTGACCTTATTGTGTTGCAAGTGTGGTCAAACTCTTACAAAAACTAACGATAAAAGTAAAGATACTTCCACAGTAAAAACAACAATAAATATAATGTGAACATATTTTCGTGTTTTCTCGTTTCAGCTCAACTTTGTGATCTGCCAGCTGTTTGCCATCCTCTTGGGCGTGTTCCTCAGGGTTCTCCTTCCGCGGGGTGACGGTCAATCCACATGGCGTTATATGTACTGTCTGCTGGCTGGCGTGTCCATGATGTGGGCGCTTATAGTAGGATGGTGAGTTGTGGTTGTTGTTGTTGTTGTTGTTGTTGTTGTTGTTGTTGTTGTTGTTGTTGTTGGTAGTGGTGGTGGTGGTGGTGTTGTGGTTGTTGTTGTCGTTGTTGTTGTTGTTGTTGTCTATGGTGGCGGTCGTTCCACATGGCGCTATATGTACTGTCTGCTGGCTGGCGTGTCCATGATGTGGGCGCTTATAGGCTGGTGAGTTGTGGTGGTTGTTGTTGTTGTTGTTGTTGTTGGTAGTGGTGGTGATGGTGTTGTTTTTGTTGTTGCGGTTGTTGTTGTTATCTAGGGTGACGGTCGTTCCACATGGCGTTATATGTACTCTCTGCTGGCTGGCTTGTCCATGATGTGGGCGCTTATAGGATGGTGAGTTGTGGTGGTTGTGGTTGTTGTTGTTGTTGGTGGTGGTGGTGTTGTTGTGGTTGTTGTTGTTGTTGGTGGTGGTGGTGGTGTTGTTGTTGTTGGTGGTGTTGTTGTTGTTATCTATGGTGGTGGTCGTTCCACATGGCGTTATATGTACTGTCTGCTGGCTGGCGTGTCCATGATGTGGGCGCTTATAGGCTGGTGAGTTGTGGTGGTTGTGGTTGTTGTGGATGTTGTTGTGGTTGATGTTGTTGTTGTTGGTGGTGGTGTTGTTGTTGTCTATGGTGACGGTCGTTCCACATGGCGCTGTATGTACTGTCTGCTGGCTGGCGTGTCCATGATGTGGGCGTTTATAGGATGGTGAGTTGTGGTGGTTGTGGTTGTTGTTGTTGGTGTTGTTGTGGTTGTGGTTGTTGGTTGTGGTTGTTGGTGGTGATGGTGTTGTTGTTGTCTAGGGTGACGGTCGTGCCACATGGCGCTGTATGTACTGTCTACTGGCTGGTGTGTCCATGATGTGGGCGCTTATAGGCTGGTGAGTTGTGGTTGTTGTTGTTGTTGTTAGTGTTGTTGTTGTTGGTGTTGGTAGTAGTGGTGGTGTTGTTGTTGTGGTTGTTGTTGTTGTTGATGTTGGTAGTGGTGGTGGTGATGTTGTTGTGGTTGTTGTTGTTGTTGGTGGTGGTGGTGTAGTGATTTGTCGGGTGGCTGGTCTGTCCATGCTGTGGGCGCTTATAGGCTGATGAGTTGTGGTTGTTGGTGGTGGTGGTGGTGGTGATGGTGGTGGTGGTGTTGTTGGCTGCTGATGTTGTTGTCCTTTTAAGCTATGTTCTCACCACACAAAAGCAACGCGGGCGGTTGGCGGGGGCTCTGGTGTGGTTTGCTCCTTCTTTCCTATCAAACATCTATCGTCCTCATCTCCCCTTCTTCCTTTTTTATGTTTGTTACTCTCTTGTAACACCTCTAATTTTCTGGCGCTCCTATGACCGTATGCAGTTGCGAGCGCCGTAAAACCTCTACTAAAAAAAAGATTAAGAAATCAGACTGGAAAAAAATTGTATGAATAACGAAGTGATGCTTTTTGTGGGGTTTTTTTGTTGCTTTGTCGTTGTTGTTTTTTTTGTTTTCTTTTCTTTTTGGGTTATAAAAAGGTGTTCACAAAACAGGACGTCCTCAGTGAGGTAGTTTGGTCTCTTATGTTTTGTTTTTTTTCAATTGTGTTTTTATTTTTAAAAATTTTCTTTGCAGGCAATCGTTCCTGGTGTATGCACAAATCATGGGATGTTACCTGATGATGAAAGTAATGCCTGCCACGCGCCAACAGCTGTGAGTTGTATCTTGTGTGTGTGTGTGTGTGTGTGTGTGTGTGTGTGTGTGTGTGTGTGTGTGTGTGTGTGTGTGTGTTGTGTG